CAGGCAGGCTCACTGACACAGGCAGGCAGGCTCACTGACACAGACAGGCAGGCTCACTGACACAGACAGGCAGACAGGCAGGCAGGCTCACTGACACAGACAGGCAGGCTCACTGACACAGACAGGCAGGCAGGCAGGCTCACTGACTCAGACAGACAGAGATACACAGACAGACAGACAGGCTCACTGACACAGACAGGCAGGCAGGCAGGCAGGCAGGCTCACTGACACAGACAGGCAGGCCCACTGACACAGACAGACAGGCAGGCCCACTAACACACAGAGACAGACAGGCAGGCAGGCCCACTGACACAGACAGACAGGCAGGCAGGCCCACTAACACACAGAGACAGACAGGCAGGCAAGCCCACTGACACAGACAGACAGGCAGGCAGGCCCACTGACACAGACAGACATTCACATACATTTCAAACATATACAAATGCAGACAGAGATTCAGGCAGACAGATAAATAAGCCGTCAGATAATTACCATGCCGAACAGCAGCGCCAGTGTTTCATAATCAATCCACTCCACCACCGTGATCAGACTGGGCCTCTGAGGGTGGGGCAGGGCAGGAAGACAGAAGCTCAGGGTCGCTCTGGGCCCCTTGTTCACCATTAAACATCCATTAGACCCCTCATGTGGAGCCAAAGCCCCCAGAACACGAATGACTGCAGCTAACTGCCCGGGGCACCGTCGCCAACGGCAACCACCTGCCAAAACGGCAAATTCTGCTCGACGCTGCTATTGTAAACTCATATCTCAGGAGGCATCACTCAGGAATTCTGGGAAATCAGCAGCAGAGGCAGCGCAGGGCCCCTTAGACTAATGAAGGTGTTAAGCAAACTGCCAAGTCGTCTAGGGAGATGGCCTAGGGAGTTACATTACTAATACTAATACAGTTACATTACTAATACAGTTACATTACTAATACAGTTACATTACTAATACTAATACAGTTACATTACTAACACAATTACATTACTAACACTGTTACATTACTAATACTCTGTTACTTACTCTTACATGGGCCTTACTGCCCAGCAGAAGTTACCCCTGATCCCCATAATTCCACCACCACCCCCCACCTCCCCGGCAAAGACATACTGCAGGTCCATCAAGGTACCTCCTCTATTTTTGAGGTAAAATTATGAAAAAGTAAAGTAAAATTCACGACAAAAATGTTACCAACATATAAAACACATTTTCTTTGTAAAAAGTCACTATTGCAGTAAGTTACATTTATTATCTTGCTACCTGATCAATTTTTCCAGCCACCTGCCACCACTGATCACTGTGTTTAATGAGCTAATGACAGGAGCTGAGAAGCTTACATCTCCGATGACGGCGAGAGCTGCCAAGGCCGCCAGCGATCCCAGCATGGCCGCCAGCGTCCGGTGCACAATCTGAGGGGCGACACAGCGGAGGAGGCGTTAAGAGCAAACTGCCATCTCGCATCACTCCGGGGGGTGGGGGGCCGGGGGGGTAGAGTCCCAAACACACCACAGAATCACATCCAGAAATATCATCCCAGTACTCCCCCTGAGCGCACTGGAGGCAGCAGCAGAGGACAACTGCACCCACCCACCACAGGGGGGCGCTATCCTGGAGCACATTTCACCAGGATGTGCTCAGAAGCACTACTGGGGATCTTCCTACCTGATCAGATACCACCACAACTCCTCCCGACGTGCCACTCCCTGCCCCCTGCCACAGCACGCCAGGAGGCTGCCCGCTTTGCGAGAGTAAAAGTCTGCTGCTATCTGTTTTTGGACACATACCGTCTGCTAATTTATTATTAACGATGTCCTTAAATGTGCATTTCTGTAATATTACAATATTCTGTCTTTCAGGATATTAGCGTACTTTTACATTTGTTCACACTGTGTGTGCTGTGTTTGCACTGCATGTGTGCTGTGTTTGCACTGCATGTGTGCTGTCTGTGCTCCATGTACTTCACTGCTGTACGCATCAGAAGTTCCCCCTGGGACCAATACAGTTGATCTTAACGTTAAACGACCAGCAGTACCACCCTCGCACGGCAAGAGCTCCAGCTCTCCTCCACGATTCTTACAGCACTCAGACATCTCCGCTTCATACCCTAACCCCCTGGGGCAGAGGAGGGGCTCCACAGCGGGGAGGGGGGGCAACAGTGGTCCCTCTCTGTAAAATTTGCCAACCAGAGGGAAGGGGCTCCCCCTTGGTAAATTTGCGGTTGCCCCCCGTCATGGTGGCCCAGTGTCCACCACCTTCTCTGCTACTGGGCTGTGCAACAAAATCGTTCTATTCTTTATCCCCATCCTGCCATCGAATACCAGCACCTGCAGTGTAAAACGCATGCAGTGTCCTTTCCGCAGTGCCTGACCCCCGCCTGAAGGTGCAGCCGTCATTCCACATTAAGCTCCCCAGCCCATTAAACGGCTTGAGCAGTTGGAGTCGAGGTCCAGCATAAAGACGACCTCCGCCAAGGCTGCAATTAGGCGCTGGTCTCGCACTAACGAAAGCCAGGTCTGCAGGTCCATTCATCACTATTAGACACGGATCCCAACAGGCAGGTGGCGACATTCAAAATATACGGTAAACGCGAGGCACCAATTTCCTGGCCGAGGAGGAAGGCAGCCACGCACTCATTTACACCCCCGTAGGTGAAGCACAGTGAACTCATGGCCTTACAAAGAGCCTCAGCCAGAACTCACCCTATCATTAGTCCACTGACTGCAGGCCATTACGTTTGGAGTTTGCCGTTCGGAGATTGGAACCTGTAAAGCCTGGCACTTTGAAAAGTAGCTCCTCAACCTGACTGTCACGACCCATCTACAGCTCGGTCCAGCAGGGGGGGGGACAGGGCCGCAGGTTCACATCGCACAAAAGGAGCAATAAGAATTAAACTAAGGTGAGCCCCCAGTGACACGCTCAAAATGCGACTTTGCAAAAGAAAGAGAATAACATTGTTCTATTTGTGTTTTTTTTAGGTGAGATTATGCTGTCAGTTATTGTTAATGTAATACGCATCTCCCATTCATGCATTTTTCACAGCAATAAATATCTAGACACTCAGATATTAAGAACATTAAAGATGCAACCCAGCAGCCTGCATGTGTGAATGAGGCAGAGAGCAGAGTCACTCCGCCCTTGAGTCCGGCTCTCTCACGCCACCAGGAGGACACTCGCTCTGCGGCGCGCTAACCTTATCTTCCACTTCATCCCAGGTACCTGTACAACTACTGCATGGCACATCAACACAGCAGTCCATCTGTCCTAATCGCCCGTCCGGACCAGGCTCAGAGCAGCATGGGCGAGTGCTGGCTACTCAGGATACAGGTGGGGACTAAGAATGGGGACCTGAACAGCCCCAGCAGGCTGGAGGACAGCTTACGGAGACTTATGATTTATGGGTAGGGAGGCAGCCGCTTTGAACGAGAACCATTTCCTACTACAACATCCAATTAAAGTGGGTAGTTGACATCTGTGGAGGTGCCTTATTAACACTGAGGAGGGTGAGAAGGCCAGTTGAGTGGAGCGCTCCATTGAGAGATGGGTGACAGCAGTCCCCCCCCCCGCCATACCCCCCTGCCCATCATGACTGTTACTCTCCTAAAGGACTTTGCGTTCATACATTTTGTTCCTTCGAAGCCGAAGCAAATATTCACACTGGTCATATGCCAATAGACAGCACCCTGAACCTTTCTAGATGATGGTTGGTGACATGTGAAGCACGCCTGTTTACAACAGGCAGGGAATGTTCCGGAAATCTACAAGATCAAGAACTGCGGGGGCGTCTCGTTCCCCGTGGAGGTGCATCCCAGTTCTTCAAAAAACAGAAGGCAGCTGTAAGTACGTTGGTGTTTTGCATCTCTGAGGGTCCTCCTCCCGTTCATCATGCATTTTTCAGCAGGAACTGGGTCACCCAACACTAAGACTGTAATTTATAAAGATAACACAAACTCTGATTGGCAAATGCAGAGCCACAGTAAGAAACAGAAGGTTCGACCCAGTCACTTGAGGGACCACCTGAAATTCACTAGTGACAGGAGGACAACCACTCCCCAGATTGACGCTGATGTTGGTGAGGGCTTTCACATTTGAACACCATCCCCCCAATCAGAGTGTGTGACCTTTCAGGGTGTTACGAACGTACACCAATCAGAAGGCATCATGCTAGTAGCCTGAGAATTAAAACAAATCACAAAGCTGTGATGCTATCCTTAGTTGCTGAAGAAGCTGGACACTAGGGGATATTTTAAGGCTTCCGATGGTAACCCTGGGGACTTTCTGATGGAGGAGAAGCAAGGTGCATTCACTAAATTGAATGCTATCTGGAATCGAGTCTCATTCAAGCCGGAATACTGGACCGAGCACCACCACGGGAGGGAAAATGGCAAGTCTGTCAAGAGCGTAAACACACATCTAAAGGGACGGCCAGGCCAGGACTCAGTTGTGATACCAGCACAGTTTCGGCCACGTAGCCAAAGCTTGTTTTGCTTAAAAATCACCAGCTACAGACTGTGCAGGAGTGCAAACGGAAGCAAAGCTAAACGCTACAGAGAGACGCTGGACGTGGAGCAAGAGTCAGTTTGGTTACAGGTGGCATTGAAAAGCCAGGAAGAGGCCACTTAACAAGTGCTCTACAACTCCTCCTGCACAGACCCTAGACCTCTGCAATCAAGTGAATGAGATAAGAACCCAGCTCTAGCATTCAGAAAGCTATCTGCATCATCAAGGACATCTGTGACCTCTAAAAATACACAAGATGAAGTAAAGTAAAGAACTGAAGTAATTCATGTACAGCTCAAGAACTGGAGAATGAAAACACAGAAGGCAAACAACTGAGTGTCACTATTGGCTGGAGCGTCATCACACCTTAGAGGCGAGGTCCGCCACCGGCCGCGCGCCTTAGAGGCGAGGTCCGCCACCGGCCGCGCGCCTTAGAGGCGAGGTCCGCCACCGGCCGCGCGCCTTAGAGGCGAGGTCCGCCACTGGGATAGAGACAGGGATTGTGTGGAAGCTGCAGGGCCTCAAACATGCGTGATTAACTGCACTAAAGAAATTTTAAAACGTCTGAAGGGTGCATGAAGAGCTGTTAGTTTAATGGACGGACACTTTTTCATGTCTTATAAACGGTGCCCCTGCAAGGACAAACGCAGCCTATAGCGTTCAGCTGGCTTCAGCTACGTACCAGTATTTCCAACAGCGCACAGTAAGGGGCCAGTATAGTTTGGCAGATGCATGAAATTGTAATAAATATGTTTTATTTGAATATTAATAATTTTAATAATGACTTTTTTTAAATAAATAATATTAAAATAAGTATATTATTATAGCAGCAGTTTTCCAGTCCCTGGGATATTGCAAACAAATTCTAGCTTTTCTGAGATGCCATTGTACATTTTGTTGCCCTTTAACCTGTACCCCCTACTCGAAAATCTTCCTGAAATAAAATGTTTAAAACACCCAAACAACTTGCACAAACAAGCTCAAACACAGTCTAGTTAAATCCTGACAGCTGTGAGATGCTAACTAAATACATTCCGATTTCTGGAAGTGTTACACAAATAAACCAACTCAATTTGTGAATAATCTCACAGTCACAGACACACTAATGTCAAGTTCCTTTGGCATTTAATGTAATTTGGAGACTTCTGCCCCCAGTCAAAAACATTATTTTGAAAACTCAGACCCTTGGGGCAAATGGATATACAGCTGGTCTCGATCGGTCAGGCAACAGCGACACGTCACCAGCTTTTCCCACGCCACCTCCCCGGCTAAGTGGCCTCCATTCCCTGTCACCAGAGTGACCAGTGCCATGAAACTGCTGTGCAGTATACTGTAGCTTTAAAACACGGCAGGGCTTGTGCTGTGTTCTTGAACTCATCTTTACTTCCTGTTTCAAGGAGATGCAGGTTACTGGGTGGCCGAGAGCTCCATCAAAAGGGAGGGGCGGCAGTCCCCCTGTTACCAGGTGATTGGCTGCAAACAGCTGCAGGCTCATTTTGTTCAGTAGGCCAACGAGGCACATACTGAATTCTATGAATTTTGTGTATGCATAGTGTACGTGCTGAAATCCACGGGTTAGAACTGGTGATGGACACCATATTTACATGGGTAGTTTTTTTTCTATTTTTGAGCTTTTTAACTTGGTTTTATACTGAAGGCCAGTGACGGACATCAATCTTTGCACCCTTATGGAGATACAGAGGCTGAGATCAGCATACTGTGTGGTGAGTGTGATGTCATACTGTGTGGTGAGTGTGATGTCATACTGTGTGGTGAGTGTGATGTCATACTGTGTGGCGAGTGTGATGTCAGTTCTTGTAGTCAAACAGGAAGTGCACCACACCTCTAGCAGCCATAGACATGATATGAAATGTTAAGATTTTAATTTAAGTTACTTTATGTCTAGATACAGTTTTTTAATGGTTGGAAACTTTGTATTAATACAATTAAGTTGCTTGGCCGGAATTTCTGTTTTAAGTTACGATATTTTATGGAATTTTTGACATTTGGAAACCAACAGTCGTAGCAGGTCAATTAGGGGGCAGGAGGAGGCTAAGGGAAACTAAAAGGGAAAGTCTTTGTCAGGGGGCCAAATATTTTTCGAGACAGACCAGATGAGGCCCACAGACCACCATCAGCCAAACTATTCTACAGAATAGAAATAGGCTCAGTGCCTAATTAAGACATAATCTATGTGATGCGAGTTGTACACAGATGGATAAAAACACAAAAGGGAAAATGAATACTAATCTCTGATGCCATGCAGGCAGCAGGAAAGAATTAGGCTTTTTAAGAACAGGAGCCTTTTAGATGAAAAGCAGGGACAAGAATTTCACTTCAATTACAGGAGCGCCACATCTGCATCACAAAATATCTTTTCATGTAAAAGGTAAGGTAAGAAAAGCACGCTGACAGAGCAACTCCACAATTCGAAAAGAAGGAAATCAATAACGGCCTTTATATACCTCTGTGGTTCCTTCAGACTTCCCTTTTTTGATACATTGTTATTTCCATTTCGAACCTGACAGTTACAGATCTGCCGTTTTCCAATCCCGGCACACTGTACTGCATATTAAGTCACGTATAACCAGCATCACGGGAAACAGATTCCTGGGAGCCCATCATCACCCTCTAGGGGACAACATGCACAACTACAGTCTGCTGTGTTTATGCACAAGAGTCCCAACCAATTTGCATCGGGCTGAAAAGGTCAACCATACACTAAACACAGATAAACAAGAAATAATTCCACTTGTCTGTGAGACTTCAACTGCATTTTTTCTGCTATAAACATAATCCCTCAGGTTTGATTTAAATCAGATTTTTCTCCTTCCCCTCGACTAAGCTATGTGTACATTCATTTTAAACTTTCACAAAAGATTGTATTCTTGCTGACAGCATTCGGCTAAGGATCGGAAAGATCTGTGGTCATGCTAGTGACATTGGCTGGTGACACTGCATCTCACTTGTACGGCGAGACCATCGTTTGTATAGCAAGCTGATCTGCTCAGGTGGACGTCAGCCATTTAGGTCATAGTTTAGGGCACATACACAAACAGTAAGAAGATGGGAATATACTTGTATAAAACTCAATGTGCGTCCTGTCTGTCTGCTTCTCAGCCTGTTTGTGTAATTTATTTTTTTGAATTATGCATGAACTAAAGTTAAAACACACACTTAGGATTCAATTAAAAGGAGGGTGATGCACCTATAGTCAGCCATGCCTCTTTTTCAAGGACCATAAAACCGGTGAAAATGTCTCCAACGTTACCTCAAAGATAATGAGGACATAGACGCCCGCAAGAATGATCCCAGCGATGACCACCTGAGTCTCCACGTTGACGTAGAGGGACTGGTAGGTCATGGAGAGGGGTATGACCTCACTGTCCTGCAAGAAGGCCTGGATGGTGATGGAGACGGGCCCACTGGTGGGGAGAGCAGGTGAGGAGACCGTTAGCAGGCACCGCTAATCATAGGATAGCCTGCCGATGATGAGGCTAGCACAACGTTAGCAGGCACCGCTAATCATAGGATAGCCTGCCGATGATGAGGCTAGCACACCGTTAGCAGCCCTGAAGACCTCATCACCTGCTGAGCATCTCGAATGCCCTGGACATCAAGATCTGTTCATTCCCCTGGGAGTGAATTGGTATCGTCCAGTTGTAGATCACCTGATTATTCAAGAAAAGGTGAAAACCAGGTAATTTAGCATTTAATTTTTTTACCATTTACTAAATACAGATAATGCCATGGGGAGTCTGCAGAACTATTTGTACCTGTTTGCTATATACAGACGCTCCTCTACTTACGAACTTTCAACTTACGAACAAAGAGGACTGTATGTCCGAATTGTGTTCATTGGGCTCCCGTTTACTGTCATCGGTTTTTTTTTCCTGCGCGCCGATTTCGCCTAGTACGCCTTCTGGCCGCTACTCCCGCCGCGCAGCAGCGTAGCCTGCGGACTCCCAGCATCCTAGTTATTTGTACTTCCATATATCCTTAACATGATGTTGAATAACCACTTACGAACATTTCAAGTTACGAACAGCCGTTCGAAACATATCTCATTCGTAAATAGAGGAGCGTCTGTAAACACAAGTTCCTCTTTGTACTTTTTACTCCTTAATTGTGTAGAATACAAATGAAAAAGTACAAATGCATAGCTGTTTAATGAAAGTACCTTAATACATTCTCAAAGCAAATAGTTCCAGCCATTGTCATTAAAGCCTAAATATTGTGACAGCAGATACTGGGTGATCGTTGTGATGGGCGGGGCGGAGCAGGGGCGGGGGGTTAGGACAGATCACAGTATACCAACCTGCTGGCCACGGCGCCGGCGTGAGCCCTCCTCCCCAGACTGCTCCACCTGGACCAGAACATACTCCCTGGGGGCTTCAGCTATGGGCCGCCGCAGGAACGGCCCGCCCATCTGCAGCCTCAGGAGGGCGCTGTCCCGGAAGTCGCTCAGATTCCTGGCTGTGTGCCTGCAGTCAAGGCATGCAACTTCCACTGGGTGAGTCCTGGGAGGTCATTCAAATTGTCACCCACTCTGAGAAAACTCCCCCTTGTGGTGAATGCGCCAAATACCACCGCTGTCTGGCAAAAAACTATATAACTAAATTAAGATGGATATACAAGTTATTCTGGGCTAACTAAAAAACTGTTTTATGTTAATAGAAGCTGAAGCAGTTCCCTGGACTGCATTGATGATCTGAATGACATGGCACTGAGTAGCATTTCATAACTCCAGTCTTTCAAAATAATTCACACATTCAGATGAGATGCTAATGACACCTAGCAGGAGAGACGTTGGTGTGAAGCCCATTAGGGTCACAGGCCTTCATGCTACAGAGCATCGCATCGCTCATGACTGACATGGCAAATCAGTCCCCGTTGCAGGCCCAGGACAAATCGTGACGCTTGATTCTGGGAGGTACCTGGATCACTGGCGTAAAGATTGACAACTCTGCCGACCAATAAGCAGGAAGGATACTGAAGCTCGCAGTAGACGAGACGGCCAACATCTGCCAGGGGTTTCCGTGATCGGGATAAATGCTGAAGAACAACTGAATCGAACACAAAGTGTCGTTATAGTCTGATTTGTGAAGGAGCATAGGGCACAACCTGCGCCATTTTAATCTACATATTGGCGGGGGGGGGGGGGGGGCTTTTACTCCCCATCAATGCAGTTTGTTCTCTAATAACAGCGATGCTGACTGGCTTGATCTCAGTGTGCGGCAACTGAGCAGGCGAGAGAGGAGCTCATGACCACACTGGACGACACTGGAAATCACTCACCGAACAGAGGATGACAAGGATGAATATACTGGCAACTTTGGAAGTCTTTAAGCAATAACTGCAAGAGGAAAGAGGTTTTAGAGATTCTCGTCTAAATGCAAACCAGAGGCATAAGGCTTTTCAGTCCCATCTTCAGGGTAAGATAAGGTATTTCATGCATATTTCATATTATGTGTTTTGAGCGAGAATGGCATTTCTCAGAGTATTTTTTGTTTTTTTGTTTTTTACATAAACATCAGCATGTTAGGAGCAGATACGCCACACAGACCCTATGCCACAAAGGACAAATGCACATCAGCCCCCTGCGGGTTTAACACTGCCCCTTAGTGGTCATTTGCTGGTTGACATTGAGGCAACCCATATAGTGCTGGGGTCCTAGCATTTACTCAAAGGACCCATTAGAGACTGGAAGCGTTTGTAAGGTTTAAGCCCCACTACCCGGACACCCAGAGGGCCTGCAGGGGCAGCCACCTCCCTGCCTCTCACTTTTAAACGGACAGCTGTGCTGCTAGATGATTCCCAGACCCCAGAACATTTTATGAAGGAAACTGCCGTCCTCTTACCCCCATTTAGCTGGTGGGGTCACTGGGGGCAGACAGAAATGAAGCAGGAATGGAAGCAGTAAATGCGGCCTTTTGGAGGGGGGGGGGCGGCATTAATAATCCAGAGGACTGTCTAAAGAATAGCGGAGCGTGATCAGAAGAGACTGCCGGCATAAATTTTTTAAAGGTTAACAGTGTTCCACAGTCCATCAGTCCCACGGTAGCCGGGGGTGAGGAGGCGGCACAAACAGGCCGACACGGGGGGGGGACGGGGGGGGCTCACCGCAGGCGGCCGGAGAGCATGAAGCTGAAGAGGGGGCCGTCCTGCGGCTCGCTCTTCTCCGTCAGCAGCGAGCGGGACAGCCCTGTGACCTCACTACCCAGCTGACATCTTCCCTCTGCCTCCCCAGAGCAGCCGTCCCACGACTGCTCCTGCAGGGTCAGGTAGGTGAAGCTGGCGGGGGACAGAAGGGGAGCAGAGGGGGGGTGAGGAAATACCACAAGCCAGGACGCGCACCCCTGACCCTCAGGCTGCCGGGGGCCGGACCCTCAGGCAGAAGTACTTCATCCGAATGGCATCGCTTAAATACCCAGCTGGATGACCGGCGAGTCCCATAGGACAGAAGTGTCAGATAAATAACCAATCAGAGCCGCCTGTCAGGGCAGGATGCTCTCGTTTCCATTCAGCGGACTTGTCATGTGACCGTTTCTTACTGACAACATGCTGCCCCACATGTCGGGCCTCCTCGAGTGGCATCCTTACAGGCGGGGCTGGTGCTTAGGGACACACCCGCAGCCATCTGTGGCTTCAAGCCCCCTTTCCGGATTACGGTTTCTGTGTGGTCTGATAACGACTCTGTCCACACAAAGATGGGTGGGGGGAGGGATGCGATCAGTCAACATTTAAGGGTCCAATCTGCCAGTGAAATGCATCAGGCCCATGTCCAAATTCCTATGGCGGGAGGCAAATTGAAATCAGAATGAGACTAAAGGCTTAAAATGTGAAGCCGGGAGATTAGAGCAGAACCGTAATCCTGCCGGGCTGGTGAGGACGCCGATGAAGGCAGTGACATCATCCATTCCTCTGTATCGCCATTACATAACAAATGAGATTAATTCCTCGCCACATTTTATGCTAGGGAAGTTTGTTCCATAAAATACAAAACTATAAAGGCAATCGTAGATGACTGTACGATAAAATTGTACTATTTCCCGATACAGATGCATTCTCCCGCTAAGAAGTGTGCCAAAGCTTTCTGAGCAAATCCTCCCATTTCCACCTTCAATAACGTTGCTTTATATATTGAATATAGAACATTCATAGTGAATAATTTGAGGCCATGACTGAAAATGCACACCTCGCTTCTGAAGATTCATTATGAAGGGCCTGAGTTAATCCTATTGCCAAACTACACACTCGTCAAAAATAAAGGCCTTTGCCAGGAAGTCATGCGGCAGGGAAAATGAGCAGTGGGTCACGTCGCCGAACGGAAGCGTACCCAGTACCGGGGCTGTCGGAGAAGCCCAGGAGCGGCGAAGTCTCCGAGCGGAAGGTGTGGCCAGTCCGCTGAAGGGTAATCACACCGAAGTCAGGGCTGCAGGCAGAGGAGACAGAGACTCTATTAGGAGTGTAACAGCGACGCAGAAACAGGTCAGATAAAGACGTCCTTCCATATTCACATGGGCACAGAGGCAGACTATAGTGATACACGACTTTCCTTCTTTTGACCAGTGAGCTGCACTAGGCACCCTGTTGACCCTTGTTGTGGCCAACTGTGAGTAAACCAGTTATCACAGGAATGCGTGGTGCTGATCAGCCTCTGCAGGTGTGCGGCATATTCCCATCCCCAGCACCACAGCAGCGCATTTCACTTCTTTAACCAATCACAGTTTTCATCGTATGACCAGGCTGGAAAATATATCCCAGCAACCACCCACAGTGACAGATGTAGAGGGAGAATATATGATGAATGTGCGCACACACACAAACAGCCAGGGTGAGAACCTACAGAACATCTCTGTATGTGTGAGGCTACAGCACCACCCATCGAGAATCCCTACGGAGAAGCACTTGTATTATATACACATTCACAATATAAAATAATCGAGCACAGTACCAACAGGAGCACAATACCTACAAAATATCCCATAATACACTTGAGGTACAGAAGTAATTAAGGCCAAAAGCAGGCCAACACAGAGTTTGTTTACAAGAGAGACGTATCCTGCAGTTTTTGTTAGTGTATAGTGTGTGTATTATATACGAACATAATCTAAAGTACTGTGGTGGACTGGCGGCCTGCCCAGGGTGTACCCCGCCTCTCGCTCGATGATGCTGGGATTGGCTCCAGCTTCCCCGCGACCCTGATGGATAAAGCGGTATACATAATGGATGGATGGATGGATGGATGGATGGGATAATCTAAAGTACATCTAGGAGAAATACAACAGACTAATGACACACTTCCCAAAAAACAGCATTTAAAAATGACAGATACTCATTCCCCAAAACTCTGAGTGTCACCAATGCAAACTGAAATCAGGTTCCTTGCCAACGTTGATAATGTACTTTGAACGGAAACTGAAATATCTTACCCTATATAATTTCAAGCATCTCTTGTTCATATGAAAGGCTACAAAGACACTGTAAAAGCACATGGAAATGTCGAATAAATCATCGAGACGTATAACATGCACAGTGGCTGCAAATATAAACTCACCCTCCTGTCTTTTAAGTATTTAAAACAAAACCTCAAAGGTTGCGATTTAAAATGTGCTGAGATTACTGCAAACAAGGAACACAGCACCAGAAAATCAGTAATCCAGAAGATTTCATCTGGATTCTTCTTTGGGGGGCCTTATTTGGGGATATGGTGGGGATTAACGAATCAAAAATCCTCAGCGTGGGGGGGGGCTGCATTATGGATATTTTAAAGGGGGGGGCATCTGCAATTGCAACAAATTACACCACTAGCTTTAATTACGCTCACATATTTCTATTTCACTGAAAGCAGCCTATCACAGCGTCCCAGGAGAGCCACGGAGGCTAATTAAAATCTGGAAATCACAGTAAATAATTACTGCCTCACTAATGAACCGACTCATTCCCTATTTACCAGAACTTGCTTTTGTTCTCCTCCCGCCCCGGAGGAGAGGATATGCCTCAGAGATCTGTGGGTGGGGGGGCAACAAGCCTTCAAATCCTGAAGCTTCATCACGGCCTGAACTCCAAAGTCATCTGACACCAGTAGGACTATGGTTCCAAGTCATCACGCATTTGGTGACTCTCATTGTCCTGAGAATAAAGGAGCGCCCAGCAAGGAGCTGGAATCCAGTACAGATACATCACTGGTCCGGCATCGCTAGAGGATTCCGGTCACACTTAAAAGCCCGACGGAAAAGTTACAAAACACTCACACGTGGAAAGGGAGAGCAGGGACCGGCCAATTAAGCGAGGATCCCTCACTGGTTATGATGGCACCTTTACGGGCATCCTCAGCACCGTCAGACGGACCCGGGTGAGCGCTGCTCAAAGCAGGGCACCAGGAGAACCACTTAAATGGAACTCAGTCTGGTTCCTTCCACACAGATCCATGAGAGGCAGCTTTGGACTTTAATTAAAGATGGCAGACAAACAAAGGAAGTGCGGGGAGGAGAGCTGGATATCACACACACACACACACACACACACACACACACACACACACACACAGCCCAGGCAGCCTGTGACGCTGCACAGTCCATTCCATCACTGCTGTCTTTGCTGCACACTCCGCACCCTGTGGTACTACAGGAACACACAACTGTGCACAGTCTTGGACGCTTTCGCATCACGTGACTCCTGTGCAGATACCTGATGCCCCAGGAGGTCTGGTTATCGGTCTCAGTGAGTCGGGTCAGGCTCCCGCAACCAAAGATCTGACTGTGCTTGGGAACCAATTTCACTATTGTTTTGTTCTTTCTCTGGGCGCCCAAAGACAACTGATTACATCCTCTCTATCACTCACACTATTCATTATTTATGGCCATGGAGAAGACTCATTCTGATTATCACCTTTGATTCAGCTGCCCTATGTCTTCCATATAATTAAGTTATATCAATATGAGCTTCCAGCAATCATTCTGGACATTAAAAAATATACATCTTGGCTGTAATAAAAACTCCAAATTAGCATGAGATGAGGACATCCTACTGAATAAGTGAGTGACAATCAATTGGCAAATTAGACTCACTTTTTAGCATGACACACACATTAGAGTCAACTGGTTATTTACTGCAGCAAATCACATTCTAAAAAAAGAGGGTGTCATATTCATTTTTAATTCCCCCTTCAGAAATATTTTTAATTCCTGGCTGAAAAATGTCAGTTGAATTTTAATTAAATAGTATTTTATAAGCCGTGTATCCTTTTCTCAAAAATATGTGTGTGTCCCCCTCAAAAAAAAAAACACTAACTGATTCTGCAAGGTCTATTACTTCAGTAGGAAATAATACAACTCCGCTCATCCTTTAGGGATGGTAATTCTGTGCCGTAGTGTAGCCGTGATACTTCATCTCAAAGCAATCAGGCCTAGGATGGAGCACTACAAACTCAGGCTAATTAGTGGACCCTCTGCAGTAATCTCGTAATGCCAAAAAGGACTCTGCTGCAGGATGAAAGTAGCCTCTGTCCTTCACTATAACTCCCCGCACCTTCATAAACCGTGTGATTTACGCAGATCTGGGCTCTCTGATGCAATGTCGTTTGAAGTGCGAGTCCCTCATCAAAATCCGCGACAGCGAATCGCGCCTGCTCAAGGTCAGGCTTGGAAAAACGAGCCTCTCCCATCGACATTTCTTCCATTTCATACATTCTGCTCAGGAGAGGATTCAATAAATGTTCCTAAGTGGACGGAAGTACTTATTATTTTATGGGCTCTGGGATTTGAATTTATTCATTGGGCAGACTCTTTGCACCCTGCTTACATTAATCTCATTTGAGGCTGGGACACAGAAAACGTGTTATTTTTATTTATTTTCATGAGAAAATGGAAATAGCAAGGAGCAGATCTCCTTGAGGTCTTATTTTGTATTCTGCTTCTATTTCTGAAACTTACGATGTCCATGTCAGAATAGCACGAGATAAATCGCTGTCCCCGACAATCTGCTTCCCGGAATAGTCTGTCCGCTGTCAGCGCTACAAAAATAGCCTCTCTCTCTTTTGCATGGCGTTTGTCAGCATCCAGTATTGTAGCCATGTACACAGCAGGGTGTCTTGCTGATGTTTTATGGATTAAAGGACCTTATTCTGCAGAGTAATATCAGAGCCCTTCCTGTAATACCGGCCCCCCCAGGGGTCACTGTGTGATAATACACCAGCCACCTGCAAAGGGAATAGCCAAAAGGTGTGACCCCCTTCACAGGAAGGGGGGCTGAGATTAACAAAGCCGCAAACACCTCTCCACCGTTTGTCTGATATTTTTTTCCTTCCCGGCTCTGCGGTTCAGTCATGCCCACCGACGCCTCTCCACCTGTTGCTCCTCTACCTTCCATTCGCAGAGGCGGAGCGTTTTCACGCCGTGCCGTGAGACTGCCAAACAAGTCCCGCCCAGGTGCATTGTGGGAGCCACCGCCTGAGCCACCGCAGCATCAAGATATATTAGGTGTGATATTTCAGGATAGATTAGGTGTGATATTTCAGGCCTGTTAACCCTCCTTAATGCCATTACAGAACTAGAAAAGATTTGCATTGTGAGTTCCACCTGGCGTGGCACAGCACACCGATGCCGGGGGGGGGGGTCCTGAGGAATGCTTAGTCGGGTTGGACACAAGGGAGCCAAATTTCACAAAACCTCAAAAAGAAAAAAAAAAAAACAATATGGAGGAGCAAACTTCTCATGATCTGGCTGGTGACTCATGTTCAGGGCTGGGGAGGAGGGTTAGGGTTAGGGTTAGGGTTAGGGGTTAGTATCAGTGAGCAGCCCACAGCCACACTACTCCCTGGGGGTGCAAGGTGAGAGAGTCCAGCCAGTCATTCATCCAGATAAATGCATTTCATTTCATTTTTTTTTTTTTTTAAAAGTACATTTTCAAAATTATTACATAGTGATATGAGTAACACATCCCACATTTGAATTTAAAACTTTACAGTATTATTTAATTTCATTAGCCTTAAAATGTTCAAAAAGCCTGCGATGGGTTGGTGCCCCATCCTGGGTTGTTCATTGTTTTGTGCTCATAGATCTGACCAGTGGGGGGGGGGGCAATTGCACCCCTGGTAAAATTGCCTATGATTCTGTACATAAACAAATACGAGCTTAAAATTCAGACCATAATGTTCTTATACCATTAATAATATCCCTGTTCCAAGATGACCGATTGGAGGATGGATGATTCAAACACACATATTGCTTAAATGTTGTTACTATCACTAAAATATCCTGAGTAATGATTGTTTTCATATAGAACCATTTCAAGACTGAACATTCATTCCTCACTGCTGGCAAATGCAACACAGCAGATGACCGCTGAGCGATTGAGTACCTCCATGACCACCGCGCGGAGAGCAGCATGACGGACACGCAGACTGCCTGCTCTCACCATATGGCATCTGGCATCAAGGAGCTCCAGGTTTAAGCTGGAGACAGGAGCTGTTTCCTTATTAGGATGAGACACATCATTACATTCATTAATTTTACCAACAGACAAGAGAAATGGGTGCCAAGCATGCGAGGGAGCCGGGCGTGCGAGGGAGCCGGGCGTGCGAGGGGGCCGGGCGTGCGAGGGGGCCGGGCGTGCGAGGGGGCCGGGCGTGCGAGGGGGCCGAGTGTATGAGAGCGCCGGGCGTGCGAGGGAGCCGGGCGTACGAGAGTGCCCAGCCTAGGAGGTACCTCCTTCTGCTAATTGGGGAAAAATGGAAACATTCATTACAGCAGAGACATGGGCTCACATGACAACCACACCGATGCATACTAGTGTACAAATCAAGACACATGAAGTGACGTACATTTAGATCTCGGTATGATTCCTGTTAACTGTAGGACTCTGCAGTAAGAGCTGCAGGTGGGTCAGTGGCTTAGCGACACGCAAGCGGAATAGTGGCCTTTCAGGTCCGAGTGGGGGCTTTGCTTTTTGGCCTTTTAGGAAAAATGTCTAATGGTGTCCAGTAAATAAATAGTCACAGATCCTGGCAAGTGATAGATGACCGCTGGTGCAGGGCGGGGGTGTCTAAGGCACCCCCCCCCTCTCACCCCATGTCAGATCTGCCTCATAAATAAAATCATACTGCTTTACCAGGACGTCACCCCAGGAAAGATTTATAAGAGTAACACCAGAAAGCAGGGGGGCCGCCCCGGATCCGGTACTCTCGTCATTCAGATTCGGTCTTGCGGAGCCAAAACAATCCACTGTACACAAGCAGTGCTCATTTTCAGCCCTGATGCCTAATAAGAGCCAATCAAACTCCACAGATTAAGAAGCTATTAAAAGTGGCAGAAATAATATACAATTAATCATTCCTGAATAGTCCAGGTGGGTCCATTTGGAATAGAATAGAACATATGCTAGAAAGAACAGTAAAATGGAGACAGGGGGCGCCATTTCCATTCTTAGTGAAATTAAATATGAATAACATGCCCTCATTTGTTCCCACCTGTCTGTTTCACTCACCATCACCCCCTCTGTTTTAGCCACTACCTAAGCCTTGTGTTTGGATCTTTTATTCCTCAAAAAAGAACCATCTGTTATTACTCAGAAAGCAAAAACAAAACATCCACAAATAACTTTTAGTCTGTATTATTCTGCCCCTTCCATCCATCTCATCCCCCCAACAATTCATCACAAGCGTACGCAGCTCTTATCTGGAATTCTTGTTTTCCTCGCAATAGAAAAATACCGTACTGTCTGAAACGGAAAGTACAACAGAGACCAAGAAAAATTGGGCTGAAGACCAAATCAACAGAGAGCTTTTATTCTTATCGTGCTTCGTTTTAGAAAAACCTAGAAAATATTTCATTGGTGGACATAGAGAGCGTCCTGAAAGAGCAGCATGTGAACGCAGAAAACAAAACTAAATAAGTAATAAAAGAATCAGAAACTGAATGCAAAGTAAAATGGAATAAATAAGAAACAAGATTTGCTTCTACATGTCAATCACTTTCAAAATTTCCAAATAAAAATGTACTTTCTTTAGCCATGATGAGTCAAGGGTGAGCCTTGTATTGAGGAAAAACAGTTCTTATGAAACCAGGGGGAAAAGGAATCGGAAGATATTACATGGTCAAGTCGGTGTCAGGTGACTTCACAGGGAATTATATAACCTTGAAGCTCTGCCAGTTACAGTATAAAGGGGCAACGGATCACTAATACAAAAGTACAGGCCGAAAATGCGGCGACTATGTGAACATGAGAATATTCCACTGCTGTGTAGCTTAACGATTTGAGATTTCTGCCATGTCTGGAAGGTTGTGGGTTTAAATCAGGGGTGTCAAACTCCAGTCCTGGGGGGCCGGAGTCCTGCACATTTTTTGGTTTCCCCTCATTTAACACACCTGATTCAACTTCTTGCAACTCCTTGTGCTAATTACCACACAGAATCATTTGTGGTGGAACAGGGAAAGAACTAAGATACACAGGGCTGCACCCCCCCCAGGACTGGAGTTTGACACCCCTGGTTTAAATCCTGTGGTTGTCAGAGCAATGATGTCACTGATGGGCGGCTGAGCATGTCCCTTAAGCCTGCATATTGTCTGGCCCTGTATTCACAGGCATAGTGCTTGGTACAATCTTCTAAATAAATGTAATGAATCACATAACCTCCAAAGTTCAAGGATGAGTGTAAAGAGAGCCACTGCTTTTCAAAAATGTGAGCTTTATGCCCGTGCGATACACATTTAATACACGTTCAATGTGGGGGGAGAGTCTTTGCTTTTCATCCTGTTGGATGGGAAGAGACGCCGTTAGCACGGCAATAATACGACTCACGGACAGTAATGTGGTCTGTTTCTTCCGCTGGAAGGAATGGGGGGGAAAAAAAAACGCTGAATGAGCCCGTCTGTCCATGATCAGATACCGTATGACCGGGGATGCAAACCGTTTGTCAATTTACAGACGGTAAATGACTGTAAAATCTAAAAATACATGGCCTGTCAGTAAAAATACAGTCTTGTCAGTAAAATCAGAAATATAAGACAGGTGGTTCAGCATGTGACGTAATGTGGAGAAACTATTTACTCACACCAAACTAGTCATTCACACCGGAAACAGCTGAACTTTTAATATACGTTTGAAGTCAATCATATACTGCAGGGTTATTCAAATCACGGTCCTCGAGGTCCGAGCCCTGCTGGTTTTCCAGCCCTCCACACCAGTCAGGTGTGAAGCCTCTGACCAATCAGAATCAGTAATTATTAAACAACTACCTGGGAGAACTGAAAACAAGGCCTGGATTTGGAATCGAGGTCCAGATTTGAAGAACCCTGATATACTGCAGGCCAGGAGACCCGCAACCTACCTGTCCTTATGGGGGGGGGGGGGGGGGGGGGTGATCAGGAGACCCGCCGCCTACCTGTCCTCCTCATGGGTGGGGTCGTAGCTGTCGGTGTAGATGACACAGTGTGCGGTGGTGCTGGCCCCACTCTGCTGCACCTTCTGGGTCTCCCTCATCCCAGAGAAGCCCTCCAGCAGGCGGAACTCGCCCAGGTTCCCCAGCACAGCGTCCGGCTTCCCGCGCCCAGCCCTGACCGGGTGCTCCGGCGCCCCAGTCTCAGACATCTCCCTCTCCCGGTTGTTCTTATTCTCCAGATACATCCTGGATCTAGAACTAGGAAAGGAACTATTTATTATGAGATATCAGGGACAAAAGCCTAGGATAAATCATTTGTAATAATAATTTGAATGTTTTCTTCACCTGAGCCGGTTTTTAAATGCCATTGGCTCGCTAACACTCAAAGAAATAACCTTAGGAAAGAAATAAATGGATTTTCATTCTTATGTGTAATATACAGCCGCACGTAAGGAAATAAACAGTGGCAGAAATTAAATTGGCTTGTAATTGTATTTTTGCTGTACGTGTTTCGGACGTCTTGTACCCAGACTTCTTGACTACTTAAGAGTGGTAAACAGCGACGTCTTGTGGATACACAAAACAACTGCAATAATACATTTTCTATAAATGCTAGCACTAACTCGCACAGTTCTGCTGATCTTCATTTTATTTTTCTAATGTATTTTTTCAACCGCAGATTACCAAGTCTTCTGATAAACAGCTCATAAATGTTGACTGACAAAATTGAATTGGCTTTAATAAGTATGTCACTGGCAGAGTCATGAATCTTGCAACATCAGTAGGCTTATAATCTGTCCATTCATCTTCTAGCCGCATTTCCTCGTTATGGTCGCGAGCATCAGTGTAATATATACATAATGCAGATCATATCTATTAAATGCATATAGTCCACTGGGTGAATGCTGCATATCTGTTCAAGGGTTTAAGTAAAACATACGGGATGTAAATTCTGGGGAACCTGCAATGAACCTTGAGCCGAATGAGACCCAACGGGAAAGTCACCCCACGCACCGTGTGTGACCAGTGGCATCTGCCCGAGGGGACAGGAGCGCGCGTGTCACGCCCACGCGCAGCGGAACCGGCGCAAAGCGCGTTATTTTCCCTGTGGCCCGTTTTTTATGATTCATGATAATCCTGAGAATCCTCTCAGCACCCCGCACGCGGGTAATACGCGTTACGCACAAATAAGGCTTTAAAGCCAAAACCTCTCCCACGTTCGCGTGTTGCATTACAGATGAATTAGCCGCATTCTCAGAATTTCCCTAACAGGTATTATAGCAACTGAAAAACCAATTCAGGACCCTCAGATCCATAGTCTTAACTCTGTACACATTCTAATTTCACCTGCAAAACAATGCGCTGAGGTTTGAAAAAAGGTCCCGAGTGTCATGGAATAACAGGAAACAAAACCGTTTGTGCTGCGTTCGGATTTGGAAGCGGCTGCAAACTCTTAAGAGTTTTTCACAGATTACTACTTTAGTATGGTTGCAGGATTACGGTATTGGCATTGTCAAACACCGCAGCAGTCAAGTCAATCGGTATCTCAAGACTGAGATGGCAGGGATTAAGTATGAATGGTAGATTTGGATGGTAAGTGAAATGACCGCGGTCACTAGACTGTTTCATTTCGATCACCGAGTGAATCTGAAGTAACCTTTTATCCGAACCAATTCAAAATAATCGATTTAATTAAAAGAATATTGATCTCCAACTCTAAAATAAAAATCAATAGCTATTACCTGAGCTTGAATTTGAATTGCAACGTGCAAGTTTTTAAATAAAAAAAATGCTTCAGAACATACTTTAAGAGGAGTCTAACTTCTTGTAAATTGAATGAACATGATATTTAGAAATTCAAGTGGCATTATTATTTGGACTTGGACTGTTTTCCCGAAGCTCCTACACATTAACATCACGACAACTTCATTGATCCCAGGCGGTAGTTCTGGAATTCTTTGTAAATTTGATATTTCGTGGTTACATGCATTACATGCAAAATAAATTCATTGTTGTATGTGGGAATGTTTCCACCATTTATGGGATTCAAACCCTGAACCCTGGTGGTACGAGCCAGTGCTGCCTACTGACCAGCCCACTGCCTTCACAATTTAAGGGCTGAAGTTTAATATTCGAACCCAGACCTTTTCCTGAGTACGGTTAATAATGAGAAATCCCGTTTCTGCATAAAGCTGGAAGTCCAGATCAAATCCCAAAATGTGAAGGTTTACCTTCACACAGTGAGTCTCCAAATCTCTTCACAGCTGCACTTTCTCCAAAGTAAAATCTCTATAATGCTGATTTGCTGCCCCCAAAATAATCAGCTAGTCTATTAATTTCTTAAGCCACGTTTAGAAATTCAAATACAAGGAAAACTACAAAAGAAGATTTTTGTCTGAGATTTTTGTCCTGAAAAATTATTTCCAAGCGCCACAAAGCAATAATATGCTGATAAGGACCTAGCAACCACCCCATAATAAGTTAAAATAAAACTAAATGTAAAACTTGGAACTGGAACTTTTCAGGTAATTAAAAATATTATTTTCTGAAGTACATCCCAGGTTAGAAGCAGCATATTAAAATCATTATGATTTGTAATTGAAACAGAGTCTGATTTTCAGGGCTCAGAAAACTAAAGCTTACTAATTATTCTTTCTGTTAATATCAAAATGCACAAATCCAGGTTTAAATAAGTAATCATGCTGCTCGAGAGGCAACTTGGAAATAAAGTTGGGGGGGGGGAAAAGGTTTACCTGTTTTTGCTGACGACGACTGGGAAGAGCTGATACTACACACCCGGAACGTTCCGTGAAGGAAAGCACCCTGTATGGCGGACTGAGCCTTCCACGCGGGTGCAGCACCCCTCCAGTAGGCGAGCTCCTCTCTCACAGGGTCCCAGAGCAGGAAGCGGCCCCCACTGGGGCTAGCGGCATCTTTGAGGAAGTCCCACCCCCACCTCAAGTGCCATTGACAGCTAGACCCCCACCCTCAGTACAACTCCCCTTATAAAACACGTGATCATTAATTAACAGGCAAGCAAGGGAGCGGCTATGTTCTAATCCTGGATGGGGTTTCGGGTGGGGGGGGTGGGGAGTAGGAGGGCCGTGCGTTCCATAAAGTCAGTGTACCGTTTGATTTCATATTGTACTCTGTGGCTAAACAGACAGACAGAGTCAGACAGCCTCCCCCTTTCTTCTTCAATCTGATAACCAAACCATCTTAAATGTTTTACAGTATCAGTACAAATGCTCAGGGTACAATGTTACACTCACAGGCAGGCAGGCAGGCAGGCAGGCAGGCAGGCAGACAGACTCACAGGCAGGCAG